TTTATTGCCATTGTTTATTTTCAGGTGAGAGCTCAGGAGTGCTGAAAAGTTTCGTGCATATTTTAAAAAAAAAGTCTATACTTTTTTTTTTTGCATTTCCTTCCTAATACTTGGTGTTTCGATATTCTATTATGTGCAGGTTGTACTTTATTTGGTATTCAATATCACCATTATCAAGTCTTAAAGTTGTGTAAAATAATGGTTAGATTTTACTATCACTTTAATCGAAGCATCATTACCCATTAGATTGATTTTTGTTGCTCTTTACGGGTATTGTTAGGACTTTAAATCATGTTGAGACATTTGACTTTGCATTTTGAGCAGTTTGTCTTTTCTGGCCTGTAATGACAAGGGTTGTATGTTAGTTTTGTTTTTCAATAATGGGAAATAGTTGAAGACGCCACACACTTTAGGGAAGCTTAAGGCTCTTGGAGAAAAGGCTTGGAAGATTCTGGCCAATCCAGCGCGACTGGGTTGTAGTACGAAGGCCTACAGGATCTGGAGGCTGTCTGGCACGGTGGCCCTGAACGGTAGGGGAAAGTTGGAATCCCCTACAGGTTTGCATTGAAAGTGGGTTCCGTAGGTGTCATAACACATTGCATTTGCGGGACAGGGTTACTTTCATCCTTTTCGATTACCATCCTTACAATGAGGAAACGGCACGATCCTGCATGATTTAGTCGACTAAAAACACTGGTAACAGTCGAGCACATGTTGATATGCTCGCAGCATTTGCAGGTGGGTTCTGTATATCGTTCAGTCTTTTGCTATAACCATCAGGGGGGGATGGAACTTTAGATATGTGGTTCGGTTCGTGTTTAGGGGAAGGGGGGACCCTGAATAACTGCTATATGGGTGGGGGGTTCTTTTTGGCACTTTGTTTATTGGATATCAGGAGTGAGTCATGAAGGCCTCCTCCCCCACCGCTACGTCAATAATAAGGTGAGGATGAGCAACCCACGGTCCCTATCAAGGCGGTCTGGGTGGCGGTGCTGGCGCGTTTATTTCCCAGGCCCCCCCCCCACACACTTGCATCCTTCTCCAGCTGGGTTTGTCTACTGGAAACGGTGGCCCGCCAAAGGGCATTATATTTTTAATCATAATTTTCACTCCAAAGGGTTCAATTGGATTGCTGCACAGGTTGTTTTTTCTTAGCATTTTTATGATGTCTAGGGGTTCGGGGTGATTTAGGACAAACTGAGTGTGGGGGGGACCCCTGGGCCGGAAAGACATCGATTGCTCGGGGATGCCCTGTTTCCTCCTCTTCTACAAAACACTGTCAACCGTAGGTCGTGGCAATTTTGGTGGATTTGTTACAATACCCCATATTTCATTTATATCCAAAGAGTATGTTCATCACTAGGAAAGCGCAATCGTTTCCAGGTTTCGATTGTCCCTTCCCATTCCTTTGCCCACAACCAACCTCGCCCAGAAACAGTTAGAAATAAGGGATTCTGTGTGCTGTAACGCTTTTGTAGGTATTGGGCTTGCAAAGTTGTACTGGCTGACTTTCCATTAGATAACTATTATCTAAAGTTCTATGTTTATAAATGAGTCACAATTTTTCGAATTTGATTTCACTTTGTGTTGATGCTGGGGGCCTGTGTCTTTGCATATTTCAGCGCTTGGTTCTTTTCCAATAGAATTGATCAGGCGATTGTGTTTTTGAAGGAAAAGTTTGGCAGAAACTGAATTAAACATTTGATAATTCATAACATCTTCTTCAAGAACTGTGATGGCGATTCATCTTGTGAATTCTTTGTATCCATTTACATTCTCTTTTATAGGATTGTTGGTCAACGAAATGGTTAATGGATAGATAGCAGGGTATGTGCTTATCCCAAAAAAACAATTCCTATGGTATGGCAAACTTCATGGTTAAACTGATTCCTTTGATAAATATAAATAAGTCCGATGATGAGAAAATATCACCCTTTTCCAGTTACCATTCAAGATCGCTATGTTAGTTTATCCTTTTTCCATATCCCTCCGTGAACCTGTTGTAAGACACCATAGCTTATGATTACTTTAACTTTCCGTGTGCTCTAATTTGAATGGATCCGTTTATCAATCTACCCACCACTATTGTTATGTCGTCATTTTCTCACCGCACCAAACTTTGCTTAGTGTCCAAAAGGTGGTGTTGATGTGTCACTTCTAGCTTTGAAGTAGGGCCTAGTTCTTATCTATGTATCCTTATAAAAGGGGAATGCTATAACATTAGCTAAAAATGAACCATGCACAGATCTTATTGTTACTAACCTAAGGCTTTCGTGGGATGCAAGTCCTTTGCGTTTTGCGAGCCTTACCTCAATCTACTAATTTCCAGCATGCCTCCTTTATCGGCATTGCTTTCGGTCAAATTCCTTTCCGATCTAACTGGTAGCCAGGATCTCCTTTGGGTTCATGTTCTTATTACACTTTATCTTATTGACTACGAAATCTTAGCATCTCTTTTACTCCCAACATATCAGACTTTGGATTCTGTTATTCACAAACTTACGGTTCTTGATACTTTTTTCATTGGATTACTTTCACCCTGGGCAAATCGCTAAAAGCACGACATATTCGAATCTTGAACTAACCAGTATAGGTTTATATTTTGCACTAATCCAAGGATTCTATTATGTACATATGTGCTAGTCTGCATCTTTCAGTTTTCTAAGTATCCAAAACAAAAAAGGTCATTACTTATGGATATTCACCTTGATATTTGATTCATCGATGCACTATTTGCTATATACTACTATTCTTTCGTTTCCAAATGTCCCCATAAAGGCAGGTTGGGCAACCACTTACTTTCTACCATCTGTATCGTTTTATACAAATGTCAGTATAAGGAATCCTCTTGTATTCCATCTATGGTTCTTTACGGGACCTTATTACTATGATATTTGGCCACTTAAAAAAAAAGGGTCATTTGATTGTTATCCCTTACAAATTCATTCTTGTAACATAAAAGACTCTACAGGACAACCATGGAATATTTATTCCTTTAGATGGTTCTGTATTACAAGCACGTACTTTTCTTCAAAAGGTATACTTATACCCTGATCTCTATTGGTATTCTATTTGCATTTATCTCTTTTATTTTGTCTCTTACAGAAAGGGGTCTCTACTCAATGTATACACTCAAACAGACTACCATTATGCAAAAAGAAGCTCGTGATAATATCAGT